ACTCATTAAACCTAATGTTATTTAAATAAATTTAATTGAAAATCAATTAAGACAAATGGAAATTCGCTTAGTCGACAGGTTTGCTGTGGCGGAGGTATTTTTTATATTTGTAATGGTTTTTTTTAAATTTCTGGTTTATAGAAGTATTTTTGTCAGATTTTGATGACATTTTGCTCGAAGGTGCAGGGCGGCTACATGATCGGACTTTGGGAACAGGGTTTTATAGGGGGTTTTATGGGGTGAAAATTGGGTTTTCCCATTTTTTACCCGAAAAACAAAAAAATTTCCCAACTTGACTCTAAAAAATTTTAAAGATAAAAAAAACCGTAATGAAACTGCAAGTTTATCGGGTGCAGGTATAACTTTTCTTAATGAAATTAAATGAAATGAAATGTGTTTATTGTCATTAGAATTTTCACAAATTATTGACAAAGTCATACAACTGCTAAGGTTTATAGCGTAGTCAGTTAATAAATACAGTAAGATAAAATATAGCTAACTACATAAAATGAGACATCTTACAATACACATTTTAAATATTACAATTGAACAGGTAATCTTATTCTTAAGAAAAATTTGTGGCATTGAAAATAATAGCCCAAGCAAATTAGGAAAAATAGAGGAACAAAACAATGTATTCCCAATTTTTTCAAAAGGGGTCCCCTAATGAATATATGATAGGGGAGAATAAAATCACCCTGCCGCTCTCTGGTGGTGGGAGGTGTAAATGCCCCAATTTGCGGTTTTTTTCTTATAACTTGAAAATGGCGTGTCGTAGCTTAAGTTGTTCACTGTAAAAGTTAAAGCTTATTAAATTTGCTACAACTTTGATCATATACATTATTAGTGAAAGACGCATAGTTTCTGAGATATCCGCGCTCAAAAAAAAGAAAATAATGTTCGAAAAAAGATTTTCATCTCACATATTTTGTTAAAATCTTATTTGTTTCTCCTTCTCTGTTATTTTTCAGAAATATTGATGGAAAGAAGGTTGTAGAGAATTAAATTTACTTCAATAATATATACAAATATGTAAATAGATAAGATGTAGGTATAAAGTTACAGTATTTTTAAAATTAAAAGAGAAAATTATGAATTACACAAATAATCGCAAAGTTTAGATTTTTTATCATTGCACGATTTGTATGGTTTCTGATAATTGTTTAGGCCAAATATAAGTATAGGTATTTAAGGTAAAAATTGGTAATAGTTATGTAAATAACAATTTAACAAAATAAAAAGGTTATCTATTTATTTTGATGATTCAAGTTAAAATAATTAAAACATACAAAATACATTCATACTTAATTATAGAACTAATGTTGTCAAATTGTTATTTACATAACTATTACCAATTTTTTCTTTAAATATACTTATATTTGGCCTAAACAATTATCAGAAACCATACAAATCGTGCAATGATAAAAAATCAAAACTTTGCAAGTATTTGTGTAATTCATGATTTTCTCTTTTAATCTTAAAAACGCTGTAACTTTATACCTACATCTTATCTATTTACATATTTATATATATCTTTGAAGTAAATTTAATTCTCTACAACCTTCTTTTCGTCAATATTTCTGAAAAATAACAAGGAAGGAGAAACAAATAAGATTTTAACGACAAATGTGAGAGAAAATCTGTTTTCGAACGTTATATTTTTTTGAGCGCGGATGCCTTAGAAACTTTGAGTCTTCCACTAATAATGTATATGATCAAAGTTGTAGCAAATTTAATAAGCTTTAACTTTTACATTGAACAACTTAAGCTACGACACGCCGTTTTCAAGTTATAAGCAAAAGACCGCAAATTGGGGCATTTACACCTCCCACCACCAGAGAGCGGCAGGGTGATTTTATTCTTACCTAGCATATATTCATTAGGGGACCCTCCCCGACACATTTAAAAAAAAATGGGAATACATAGATTTGTTCCTCTATTTTTCCTTATTTGGACTTATTTGCTTGAACTATAATGGAAGTGATTAAACCGCATAACCAACAAAGTCCAACAGTATTTGGTCAATTCGCTAACTCTACTTAAAAATTAATACCAGACATTTCAAAAAATTCATTTAGAGAATACGATGAATGCGATACCAGTCTACTGTAAAAAAAATTTTAAAAAAAATTAAAAATAGAATGGGTTGTTCAAAAGCCATCTGTAGAATTTTGTTTTAAAAGTGTTTTCAGGATATTTTTGTATTAAATGTATTAGCTTGTTGTATATTTTTAGTGAGATTACAATATGGCTTTTAAGAGTTTTAGACAGTCTGAAAAAAATCGATGGTAGCAACGCTTTTATTCCTTGTATAATGAACATTAGAAATTTGTTTGATTAACCCTCCGAGTGTCCCTTGTTTTGGCCTTAATGTCTGCCTATTTTTTGCTCATTTGCAAGGTTTTATTAAAACGGATCTGAGAAGCTTGAAAACAATGTTAATTATACTGTTCTATATACCATTTTGTTTGGAAAATCATGGGCTTCAATATTATAAATAAAACATAAGGAACATTTGTTTCAAAAAAATTTGTAGGTAAAAAAAAATATTTTGGAAAATTAAAAAAAAAAATAAGTTTGCGCTCAATGAAATTGTATAAATTATAGGCCTATAAATATTTGAAAATAGCCACTTTGTTCTAAATTTTATGAGGATTACAAATATATAATAATATAAGGAAGTAGATTTGCAAACCAGATTTGTATTTGTAAATTGTATTGTATTGTATTATATTGTATTGTATTTATATTGTATTTGTAAATAAGTTATGGGCAAAAAACAGATTTCAGTACATAGCGTTTAGCTAAGAATGCATAGCCTAACCATAGCTAGGAATCGGGCTGATAATTTACATCAATATCACTACCTACTTCTTCAGGATCATCAACCAGCCCTTCAAAATCACTTAAATCTTCTTATAATGCACCACATATATCACTACTTTTGATTTTTAACACTAAAACAATGATAAACGTAATAAAACACATCAGTCATCGGTCCGAGGTTAACCAAGCTGTTTACAAATACGCACGTCACCTGTCTGCTACAATATTTTCGGAACTAAAATGAAAAGCGCTTAGAGACAGACCTCCGGAGAAAGCTCTGAATCTGTCAAATAAAACGATACCTAACTCGATCCAGGTCAATCCGATTTTGTCAGTTATAGAGCCTTCGCCGTAAACAGTGTTTGCGAGTCGATGCATCGACACAAAACACTACACAAAGTGTGTTATGTGTCGATGCATCGACAAATAACACTCGGAGGGTTAAGTTGGGATTTTTTAGAACATGTGATACAGAGTCAAATAAATAAATGTTAATCACTGTTGGAATTTGTATTTGTATTCAGCATTTAAGTGTTGTAAGCTACACCCAACAACTTAACTAAAACATAAAACGTTAAAAATGTCCCGTACAAGCTGGTAGGGCACAAAACAACTTTCGGCAGTGAACTTTCGATAAAGTAGGGTGGAAATATAGCCATGTGTCTCAATCAAGTGTCTCTTTTAGTAATTAAAGGTGCCACTTTCTGTAAAAGGTCCTCAAACTCTGTGGTGGGTATGCGGCGGTAATTCTTAAATCCCGAACGATCTTACAACGTGAGTTCATTCTAAACATGCTGTAAGCACCATGCATTTTTCTTTTCTTAAAAAACTCATGCTGCCACCACCACCCAAGGGCGGTCCTAGACATACATTTTGCGGGGGGGGGGGGTCACCGGGGGGCCTTGGGGCTATGGGATACCCCCCAACAAAGGAGGGGGGTCCGGGGAAAAAAAATTTGGAAAGAACGTGCTAAAATGAGTGGTTTTTAAGCAATTTTGAGGACCTAGTTTAATGTGTTCAAGCTTCCCAGTTTATTTAAAGGTCAAAGAAATGTCTACAAATGAACTTGTATAATGTCATGTTTTTGCATTATTGAGACTTGTGGTTTTAATATCAAAGGAATACCGCAACATTACAACACATTCAAGCATTATTGATGTACGAAAACACCCTTTCAACTGGTGCCGATGTGCATGCTAAACTGAAAATGTCCAAAATCAGACCAAGATTTCGAAAAATAGAACTTATTTTATCTAAGAAGTGTTTAAGAACTTGCACCAAACACGACTGCATTATACCTGCCCAGTAAGCAACAGTTAACTTACACAAAGTACACTACCCAACTAACGTTGTGTTGGCGTCCCGTCACTGCTACCGCCTGAAGAATTGGTTCTCAGTGTTCTCATTTTTTTACGCCAGTGCCAGTGGCATTTTACAAGGGGTCAACGTGAGATTTAAGTTTTTGTGCAACGTTTTTGTGGTTGTGTCGGGAATTAAATCCGTCCCTTCCGCATCTAAGTCTGAGACACTACCATTTTGATGTTGTTTTGTGGCTAGCAATTAACATGCCAATTGGGTTGTGTTATTCTTAAATATGATATCAGGTGCTCTAAATATGAATACTATTTAATATTGAAAGTTTTGAAATTTGCTATGGTAATCATTGAATTGCATTACTGTAATTACAAATTCCTAACGCTGAACTCAGATAAATGAATATTCAACTACCTTTCAAACTCTGACTATTGATACAACTTCTTTTCTTTATCCAATACCCAATTCAAGTTTTCGATCATCTGGGTTAAAATGAATTATAACATTAAATGCCGAAAAATTCAATAAGAAGAAGAATGCAGCCGAACGTCAGCATCGGACACTGCCGTTGCCATATATGGCTGAAAGCGTCCGTTGTCTGCCGATCTTCCCTACTTTTCATAACGTACAAAAACATAATCAGACTTGAACGATCCCAAGTTTTAGGTTAGACTTTGTAATTAGTCCTTTCGTTCGCTACAAGTGTAAAGACTACAACGAATTTCAATTTGGTAAAACGATTTGCAATAAAAATTATTAATGTTTCCCTGGTTGTTATTGACTAAGGCCAACATATTCCTTAGACACAGCTTTATAATTTCAACTTTTCTTTTATTTATAGGCCTATGTATTTTATCTAGGTCGTATCATCTGCTGGTTACATCGAAAATTTGAAAGATGCATTGTTACTAGAAAACAAACAACAGTGCTCTAACGCTATTCAGTTCATATTTTGTGAACATGTAGAAGATGTTATGGAATGGACTTCACACAACCAACTGTCTCGTGTGGATTACATTGTTATTGTGTTGGATCCAAGAGAAAGCACTTGTATAACTACGGTAAGCTATATCTGTTTTTCAGTAGGCCTACACAATAAACCCAGAAAAAAATATAAGGCAACTGGTTAGGCAAAAAACTCATATTAATGATGGAATTACGCCCGCGCTATTGTTGTGCTAGCTTAGGCCGGGAGCCACTTGTAATTTTTAACTAATGACATAGGTTTTTCTGTTTTCACGTGCAATGCACGTGGATTGCTTTGATCATGCCACACTCGTCTTATGAGATAGACTTTTTGGGCCTAATGTGTAAATTATTTTGCACCTAACTCCCTTAACAATAAATTAATAATGAGGCATGAGAATTTTATTTACAAGTTGATAGTTTGAGTAGATTACCGTAATTTCAACCTCATTCTTTTGGTTCAAATGATGAAAGATACCATTGAATAGTAGCGACATTTCAAACAAAAGTGCAGTCAGAGATTCCTATTACTTGTACCGAAATGGAAGAAGAGTCTGTTAAGAACGCTGTTTTGAAGAAGGTAATGCACTATGTTAAAGTTGGTTGGCCTAATCCAGAATATAACTTGAAGCCTTACTTTTCCAAAAGATTTTCAGTGACTCTACACAAAAATTGTCTTCTATGGAGTATAAGAAAAATACCGAACTTACATTATAGACTACTTGCATGAATCTCACAATGGCTTGGTCAGAATGAAGTCCAAGGCACAGAGTCATGAGTGGTGGCCAGTAATGGATGCCCTAATTAAACAGACTTGTCACCGTTGCAGTGAATATAACTTGTTTGCAAACAATTTACCTAGTAAAATGCATCTAGTCAGCTGGCCTAAAGAAAATGAACCTTGGAGTCGAATCTATTTAGATTTTGCCATACCATATTATGGACAAATGATTCTCTTAGTTAAGTGATTGACGCTTTCTCCATAAATAAAGATTCTATTAGAGATCATTTACTTCAGAATGAGTACAAAGATTTCAATACTTTAGTTGAATTTGCTAGGACATTGAGTTCTGTTTTCATCACTTCAGCAACAAAAAAATCTAATTATGTTTTCCGGTAGTAAGAGCAATGGAGAGTTTCTAATCACTAAATCCAAACTATTTATGCTATTCTTGTGGGGGTAACCATTTTAGAAAAAAATTAGGATTAAAATGAAATAGTGATAAGAAAGGTTAATTGGCAAAAATTTGTAAAATTAAAAGTAGCATAGATTTTCAAGACAAACAAATTAGTAGACACAGAAAAGGAACGCACAGCCACCGACAAGTAAATTTTACCGACAATTGAGATACTATGTAGAAGCTGAAATTCATCCCTATAAATAAAATCCTTGACCAATCACATGCAATAAAAAAAAACAAATTAAAATCAATGTGATTTAAATGTATCAGCTATGGTACAATAGTCAATGTAGGCCTATCATTATTTGTAATTCAGCCAAATAATGAATGTTTATTTTCCATTAATAATTTGCTTGTTATCTACTTCAGTATCAGGAATTTTATATTTAAACACAACCCAATTGAGACTTCACCACAGTTGAAGCAGCCTTACTGACATTCTCTAAATCTTTCTAAAACTTTATCACGGTCTCATCACTACAGGCTGAAGATAACATCAGCAAGATTGATTCTACATATATTGAAGCAGGACGGCTTTGCTTTGTCAATGGAGCTTGTGGTATGCGACCAGCTGATATGGGCATTTCTCTAGGACACATTAATGTTATGAGCCAAAAGTATTCAGTGATGCTTATAAATGGTGATGTTTTGGTGAGTTTTAGAAATCAAGTTATAAGTTATATTAAAAGTTTAGTTAAGCTGCAAGAAATTGGTATTCACAGGGTCCGGCAAAAAAACTCCCTTATTTCAATAGGCATTATCAAAAAGAATAAGAAACATACAGAAAAATTGCTTATATTTGTGAATAGCCTATATGATGCCATTTTACATCACTTAACTAGTATACTTTACTTGGTTTTGAAAATTATGTCTGATAAATGATGTCCCCCATTGTTAAGACATTCACAAAGCCTTTCCCTGAAGTTGTCCATAGTTCTTTGTGTAACTTCCCTCGGAATGGCTGCCACTTCCTGCCTAATGGCATCTTTTAGCTCTTGCAGAGTTCTGGGACGATGTTTGTACACTTCAGCCTTTAGGTTGCCCACAGAAAGAAATCACAAGGTGATAAGTCGGGTGACCTTGGGGACCAGGAAATGTCTCCTCTTAAAGAAACAAGACGTCCAGGGAACAACTCTCTTAACATTTCCATGGACCGCCGAGCAGTGTGAGCTGTGGCTCCGTCCTGTTGGAACCAAAGTTCTTCTTCCTCATGGTCTAAAACAAACTGGATGCAGATGAAGTTCTTTATGCAGAATTCTCCTTACACTCCTTTCTGACAATCCCAGGCAGCTGAATGTTTAACCGCTGAACGCTTTGGAGACTGTTGGGTGGATGTTCTCACTCGCTCCACATTCTCTGGTGTTATTGCAGTACGAGGTCAGCCAGTTGGTTTTATTTTTGTGCTGACCCTGATTGTCTAAAGTTTGACACCCACAGTCTAATCGTTTTCGCATCAGGAACACTATCACCTCGGCCAAATTCAAATCGAATCCGAAACGCTCATTGAGTAGAAATCACAGAACCACCATTTTTAATAAACTCCTCCACAACAAACGCCCGATGCTCACCGAGCCAAGCCATGGCAAACACTGAAAATGGCACGTACGCCGCTACAGAACAATTCCCCCTTCTCACTCACGTGGTGGCTTGCTCAAACCGGGGAAGTTTTTTTGCTGGACCCTGTATTATTACTTTCTCCCCCTATACATAGGTAGGGTGTCAAAATGTTTGAGTTTCAGTTTTGGGTGGATATATCCGTTTTTGGCTCCCCTGAATCCAAAAAAGTTGTTTTTGAAAATATGTGTGTGTGTCTGTGTCTGTATGTGTAAATGTGTACAAAGCATCAGTCCACACTCAGTGGCGGCGAGCAGTCAATATTATTGTGTGGGCTATGTCTGGACCCTGGGCTTACTAAGGGACCACGAGAGGTCAGGGCTATTGAATACAGGGGCTGGCTCAAGTCGACTAGAAAAGTGGTCCCACTGCCGTGTGGCTGTGACTCTACGGGTGGAGCTAGAGCGCAGCACTAATTGCCTCTAGTGCGGGGGAACGGGAGGCACCGAGCACAACACGCCTCTAGTGCGGCGATGGAATGCACCGAGCTCAACACGCCTTTAGTGCGGGGGAACGGGTAGCACCGAGCTCAACGCACCTCTAGTGCGGGGAACGGGATGCACTGAGCTCAACACACCTCTAGTGCGGGGGAATGGGAAGCACCAAGCTCAACGCGCCTCTAGTGCGGGGGAGTGGGAAGCACCAAGCTCAACGCGCCTCTAGTGCGGGGGAATGGGAAGCACCAAGCTCAACGCGCCTCTAGTCTGGGGAACAGGATGCACAGAGCTAAACTTGCCTCTAGTGCGGGGACGGGAAGCACCGAGCTCAACACGCCTCTAGTGAGGGGTAACGGGATGCACCGAGCTCAACACGCCTCTAGTGCGGGGTGTACCGTGCTCAGCACGCCTCTAGTACGGGGAACAGGAAGCACTCAGCAGCATTTGGGTTATTTTTAGCGAATTTCCCATATAGGGAATAAGTTATTACCGTAGTACTCATAGTAAGACCTGGACCCGGGACCGATTTCATTTTTCGTTTTGAGGTACCTAGAGGCCAAAAACACCATCCGTTCCAATTCATATATATATATTGTAAGAAAGGGGATTATTTGAGGGGGGGGGGTATTGTGGGGGGGAAGGGGATTGTGCGTGTGCTTCTGGGACAATTAACAGTATGTTAAAAGAATAAAATATGTAACTAAAGTTTTGTCAAACATACAAGTCATGTAATTTGTAAGTAACTAATTCTTTTAAATTTTCATTTGATTTTCTTTTCTTGTAAATTTAACGTTGTAAATTAATTTATCTTATTATTGTTGTTTTTTGCCTTTTCAAAGTTTTCTTTTGCTGTTGGACCACTTTGTTACTTTTGTTGTTTTTCTAAATTTAAATTTTTGTTCATTACACGATGAGTAACACCTCTTGACTAAGCTAAGCGAGTGAATCATTTTAGGAAACTGTAGTGTTATCGCAAGTTAAATTAAAATATAGTTCAATAAGACAAATACTTTATTAGGTAGTTTTTACAATAAAATCCAGATCCAGAATGTTTACCAACAAAAACTAAAAAAATAATATTCTAACACCATATGTTAATAAACACATATGAATAACAACACATCTCCCCTTTAAAGATCGAACCTCCGGGTAGGTTTGAATTGTCTTGTTGATCTTCTTAGATTCGCTAAAGGTTTTGTCTGCGATTTCCTTGCAGGATGATCGAAAGGTTCTGATCTTCTGAGGTGTTCTGAAGGACTGGTCTGCAGTGCTGGTTGAGAGTGGTCTGAAGGCATAGTAGAGCTAAATCTTTGCAGTGATCTTCTGTTCCTCCGCAAACAACCATCTTGCGTTTGAATTATATAGGATCGAGGTGCAGGATGTTTGTTTAATATAGTTCCTTCTTGATTCCTGTCCTTTATATGGACTTGAGCTCCATCAGGTAGAGTAGGCAATTCTTTGACTCCATGTCTTTTGTCAAAATAAATCTTTTGACGATCAATTCTTGCTTCTTCCTTTTCCCTTAACTTTTCAGCGTCTACCAGATAGGGTCTTAGTTGATCAGACATTATTGGAACATAAGTGCGGATCCTTCTCCCGAAAAGTAATTCCGCTGGACTTTTCCCATTTTCTAGAGTGGTTGCTCTTAACATAAGTAGCATTTTGTAGGGATCATCACTTTTTTCTAAGTGGTACTTAAAGTTTTTTACTTGCGCTTCGATGAAGCCGTTGCTTTGTGGAAATTTTGGGCTTGATGTAATCAATTTAAATCCATAATCACGACCAAGTTGTTTGAATTGACAGCAGTCAAATTGAGAACCACAGTCTGCTCTCACTGTCTCAGGTACACCATGACGTGCGAAGATGGACTTTGTATATGTTACTATAGTGCCCATTTTTAAGTCATTTAGTCTAGCAATTTCCATAAACCTAGAATAATAGTCTGAGATTAAGAGATACCAGTGACCTTTGCACTTCAGCAAATCGGCACCCACTATTTGCCAAGGTCTGTCCGGATAAGGGGTTGGTATCAGCGGCTCTGCTCTCGTAGCGCGATTTTCTGCACATATCTTGCAATTTTCTATTAGTTCTTTGATTTGTTGAGAAAGACGAGGCCACCACACAGTCAATTTTGCAAAAGATCTACACTTTGTTATGCCTTGATGTCCTTCATGAATACTTCTTAGTACATTAGCTCTTAGAGAATTTGGTATTATAATACGACTTCCAAAGAGAAGTATACCATTTTGCTCACTTATATCTTCTCTATGATACCAGTAGGGCAATACATCCTCTGGAATCTTAGATTTTTCTGGCCAACCTTTCACACAATACTGTGACACATGCTTTAGAGTTTCATCTTTCATAGTTTCTTGATTTATTTCTCGCAACTTTTCATCCGAAACAGATGGTAGGGTAGTGTCAATATTTTGTATATAAGCAAGGATTTCCTCTGTAAGTTCCCATTCCTCTTCAGAGTTCTCTGTGTCTCGAGACAGTGCATCAGCCAAAATCAACTGTTTACCGGGCGTGTAGGTAATATCATATGTATATCTCATTAGTCGGAGTCGTATTCTCTGAAGCCTGGGAGTAATATTGTCCAAGTCCTTTATCTTGAATATGGAGAGCAAGGGCTTATGGTCTGTCTCAATATGCAAATGCAGCCCTAAAATGAGGTGTTCAAATCGTTCACACCCCCATGCAATCGCTAGAGCTTCTTTTTCTATTTGAGCCCAATTACGTTCGGCTGATGTCAAACTTCTCGAAGCATAGGCCACAGGACGTTTAGTTCCATCTTCTTGAAGCTGAAGTAGTGCAACTCCAATACCGTATGACGAGGAATCCGCTGAGAGGAAGGTTTCTTTAGAAATGCTGTATAAAGCGAGACACGGTTCGGACATCAATGACAGTTTAATCTTTTCCAAAGCTTCGTCTTGATCAGGCCCCCAAATAAATTCTGTATTTCTTTGCAGTAAAGCATGTAGTGGATGAACTATGGTCGACAAATTATGAATAAACTTGGCTACGTAATTGACAACACCTAGAATTCTCCTTAGTTCTTTAACATTAGTTGGCGTCTTGAGTTTTTGGATAGCCTCAACACGAGAGGGATCTGGCTTAATACCATTTTTAGTTACAAGATGACCTAGTAAACTGATGCTTTCATGCCGGAATACACATTTTGATCTATTAAGTGTCCAGCCCTTTTCCTGGAGCCTACACAAAACACTATGCAAATTTTTGTCGTGTTCTTCCATATCTTTCCCGTATATAGTTATGTCATCGAAATGGCAAACAACACCTTGAAGCCCTTCAAGTGATTCAGACATTTGACGCTGGAATACTTCTGAACCAGTGGAAATCCCGAAAGGAAGTCGTAAAAATCTGAACCTTCCAAAAGGTGTGATGAAAGTAGTCAAATATGAAGCTTCTTCTGTTATGGGTATTTGCCAATAACCCGAGTTAGCATCTAGTTTCGAGAACACCTTAGCACCATCTAATTGTCCCAGAGTGTAGTCTACAGAAGGCACAGGATATAGTTCTCGTTTAACACTCTCATTAAGTTTAGTAAAATCCACGCAGAGTCTTATTGAATTGTCC